GCTCTGCCAGCTCTAATTTCTCCTTCCTGTGTTGTTTATAGGTCACCTGCATATGCAGCATGCAAACCTCTATACAATTTGGAATTGATATCTTACAAATCCAGTGCTATTAGAATTAGTGTGACGTATAAATGTTCACCGACCACACACATCAATTATTACGTTATTGACAATTTGACAATATAACATACTATTATGCCGTGATGGATACCAATACCATTGAAGAATAAATAACTATAATCTACCATATAAGGTGGTGTTCTAAAAATGGAGGAATTTTAGACTCACATTGATGAACCCATGAAGGAAAATATCAGGGACCCACTTAAAAGGGCCAGGTTTGTGCATTGTCAGATTCACCAAGAGCCTCAGATCATGAGCACTTTCAGGTACAAGGAGATTCAATGCATTGCTTCCAACCTTATTGATCTGCTCTCTTTTCTGCTCCTCTGTCATCCCAACCCCACAACTCACAACCACAACTTTCTCCACCAACTCTGGATACATCTCAGCCAACCAATATGCCACATACCCTCCATAACTTATAGAGTAAACAGCAAATCTCTCTACCCCTAATCTCTTCAACCCTTCTGCCACACATTTTGCTTGGAAAACCTCTGTCCTTTCTAGCCTGTTGGTGTAGGATTTGCCAAAGAACAATAGATCAGGTATGTACAGATAGAAACTTTGAGAAAGTGAACCCACTTGATGGATGAATTGCCACTTTGAATTGCCACCATACCCATGAAGCATTACAAGAGCAGGCTTATTAGACCTCCTAGAATTTGCAACCCAAAAGTTCATTGTGGTTTGGTCATCTAATTCAACTGTGCAGGGACAAAGACCACATGATCTCAAGTATAGAGATAAAAGTGCATCCGCAAGTGTGATTAGGAGTGTGATTGGATTCAAATAAGGTAAAATGGAAATCAAGAATTGAGAAATGGCTATGATGGTTGCAAGGTAGAAGGAGAGGACATTATACAATTTTGGGTAGGCCATGGCCATATATGAGTGCTCTCTGTGTGATTGCTTTTCCTTTTTGGCTACTTACATTTGCTTATTGTGCTATGCTTCACGCATTCACCATACAAGACTTAAAAAGAGAGTGAAAGACATCCCCCATTTGTGAGGTAGAGGACAACTGTATAACCCACTTGCATGTTCTTTTGGATGATGAAACCAATCTTGCCAACCCTAAAATGACAAAAAAAGGAAACAATGAGATTGCTCTGTAATTGTAAGGATATTAGGCTGGAGAGGGCGAATAACTGCAATTCGTGTTAGTCTCGCACTTTTGCAGGAGTGAATTAAGTACATTCCTGCAAAAGTGACGGAGGTTGTTAGAGAGTACAAATAGAGTTTTCTTATTGAATTTTTATGTTCTCTTTTTTTAGACTCTCTTTAGATTTTTTTTAAGAGATGTGTCGTTACCCCGAAAGACAATTGGGAATCATATAAAACTGAAGATACCTCAACTAAGCTAATCACTTTTTTCTAC